GGCTGGTTTATTGTTTATCTTTTGTTTATGAGGCAGTATTCAAGTTTAATTACTACTCTAAATTAAACTCTAACTGGCATCAGGAGACATCCCTTTACATGACTAAGTTAAAAAAAAAAATCTAGAAATCCCAACTCTGGGTTTTTCAAGTAAGTTGATACATATAGGAAGAAATTACTCAAAATTAACAGCAATTATAGAAAGCTTTTAAGCATTTATGAGCACCATTACATGCTCCTAGAGCATTTATTTATTAGAAGAATTTAATTTTACTTCTAATGGTTACTACTCTAAAAACTCTTGAGAAAATCAACAGAAAAATCTTTGGATGTTTGCTGATGGTCTAAGAATGGCATTCTTTTTAAATTTATTTGGGGGAAAAAAGAGAAAGAATGCAATGTAAATATTCTGCATACAACAGTTTATTCTATGGCAATGTTCAATGATCAATTATAGTCTCAGAGAATTTTTTGACACAATTAGAAGGACAGGAAGGAAAAAAATGTCATTGTATTTATCATAACAGTAAGTGACCAGTTTTGGATGAACTTAGCTCTAGGAAAAATAAAAGTTAAAAGCAACTAGCAAAAGATTATGCCAGATGGCATCTGTCATATTGTATTTAGGGTTATTTTAAAGAGATTGCCGCCACTATGAAAACATTCCATTGACGGAGTTTTCCAGGCTGAATAAGAAATCCCAGTAGAACATATTCAGGACCCACAGTAAGTGGGTTTGAAGACCCCTCCTCCTCTTTAAATATATAACTGGAATAGTTTGGTGGGGAAAAATACTATTTTATAACTATGACATGTACTATAAGCTCAAAAGTGCAATACTATTTTAGACATTTGCTTACCTATAAACACTTACAATCACTACTAAGGAGATATTTGTAGATTTCAACACCATGATTGCTAAATAACTGTATATTACATAAATAAATATCTAGCTATGAGGAATTCTAGCCTCATCGCCTGGAAGATAGATGGGGACATCAACAGAGGGGCGTGGTAGGTGGCAGAGTTAGGGAGAACTATGCTGGCTTGTACAGCCCTGTGTCCTGAAAGATTAAAGCAATATAGATTCTAGAATGCTAATGTATTTAGGTTAAACTGGGTCTGGCAACAGTATGGTTAACGTGCGTGTGGTGTGCAGTGTGAGCTCAGCAGTTACTGGGCCAACTGTCTCGGTATTTCTGGGAATCCTGCCTATTCACAGTGCAGGGATTGTTCAATTGCTGCAAAATGTACAAAATGAATTTTACAAAAATGAATTGTAAGGAAGGCCCCATTACAATGATTTTACAGCAAAGATGTCAACATCAATTTTTCTTTCATGCATAGCTAATGATTAAAACAGCATATTCCATTTGCCTAAGACAATTTATTTCATATTGGCACATCAAAATATTGAAATACAAAGTTATCTTTACTTTACCCTTTTTATTCATTGCTGTTGAACCCATACCATTGTTCAAACCAGGAAAAATAAAACAAACTTGGCACGAAATACTTAAAACAAAGGCTCATCAATATTCTCCAATTTGTCAACATCTCAATTACAGCACTGGAAAAAATGTAAATTTCATGTGCTCTAAACACTGAGGGGTCTATTCTCTTGCCAATTCACATGCGTAACTCCCATCAGCGTTAATGGGAGCTACACAAGCCCATCAATAATAATAATACTTTGTACATATATTGTGCCTTTCATCTAGGGCTCTCAAAGTGCTCTAGGAACAAGGGGCTGCTTCCTAGTCTTTACTCTGGCAAAATACACAGTGAAATACAAAGCAGCTTTTGACTCAGCAGGTACAGAATTAGGGGTCCCTAGCCTTATTATCAAGCCCCATTTTACTGATGGGAAGCCAGACACAAAGAGGGCCAGTTACTTCCTCAGAGCCCCGAGTCTGCACCCTAATTCTATCCTTGAAAAACCAGATTTCCTTCCTCATTCTAATGTGACTAACAAGACAAATTCCCTTCCTTTGGCTGCTTTTAGCAAATCAGTGAATGAAAAGTCTGGTTCATATTTATATAGCTTGCTGTTAGGCATGTGCTCTTTGAAAGATAGTAAAGTCAGGCTTTACATTTGACCAAGTTTATTTCTTATGATATTTAAAAAATTTGATATATATATTTTTCTCCTCCGTTTGGTTCACTGCTGAAACACTATGGATGAAAAGATGAACTTTCACCTGTGTAACTGCAGCTCTTTTACTGTCAAGTCATAAAATGAGGTATTTTTAGGTTCCAAAGTGAAGATTTATATAAATCATTATAGTAAAAATAATCACAAAAATTATAAAGCAACATAAATACATGTATTGTTTTATAGCATCTGGCTATTAAAGTTTAATTTAAAATGTGTATGAAAACACTGTATTTAGTACAATTCATCCCTATTTTTTCTGTTTATCATAATTTGTTTTGAAACTGAATCATTTTACAGTTTTCCATATGCCTGTTTTGCTAATAAATTCTGAATAAGAAAACTCTTTGCTCAACTACAAACTTAATTTCCAATGAAACATTATAATATATTTAATACTAAGGACGTAAATTTCTTTCCCACGTTTTCCATTATACATCAACCCTAAGATTTAACCTAGGATAAGCATACGCGATTTCAGTCAATATCTCTGTTGATTTTGCCCTGAAGCAGATAATTAATCTTTCCCACTGAAACTACTCTGGACAATTCAGTGGGACAAAATATCAAAATACCTTGAAATCCTGTTTAAAAGACTAATATAAGGAGTATGACAAAATACACTCATGTCTGGCCTTCAAAATTTAAAGTCCGCTGTAAAAAGCCAGAATGCCCTTATATACGTGTTTTAACCACTGATGTGGTAAGCCAGGTATGAAATTTTCCATGCCAAAACAGTCTCCATTTTATAAAAATCATACCTTTTTTTTCTTTCAAGCTTTGATACAGTAAAATGACTGACTTCCTAGTGCTCATACACATAAGCTACCACATCCATTCTTTAATCCCACAGAGATATGATTAAAGGAACAGAATCCTACAGGGGTCACATCCTTCACATCGGATAAGTGGGTACAGCTACCCACAGCATAGAAGTTTGTGTGCATTGTTTTTACCTATGTATCAGTCTTAGAATTCTTCTCTTGCCTAAAAAAATGAAACAAAACTAACTAACCAAAATGATAAAACTTTATGCTTGTTATTGCAAGTAATCCCAGCTCCAAACCTTGGGTTCTTCTCTCTCCCTCCTCCTCTTCTCTCTGGCTCTTTCTTGCTATCTCTCTTGCCATAACTCAACTAACCCAACAGAACCAGTCAGTTTTAAATTTCAGTTGGGACCTTGGTGACCTGTTAATGAATCTACAGAGAGGAGAAAAACTCACAGTGTTGAGTTATGCCTGGTGTTGCTAGCTGACTTGGAGTCAGAAATGCTTGAAGCGTTAACGTAATTGCAAGAATGTGAAAAATGAGGCACTGGGCTCCCGAGCAAAGTGAAAGGTCAAAGTGAGCCTCACACACAAGAAGTCTCTGGAAGATAGCCTCATTAGACCATTAAGTCGGCTTCTCCTTTTCCCCTCTTTTATACAATGTTTAAAGTATTTAGTTTTTATTAATAGATACATTTCACCCTTTGTGTCACCGCAATTTGGGGAGGTGGGAAGGAAGGAGTCATAGAAAGCTTTCCAGATTTAACCACGCTGAGAAGTCCATCACCACGACGTGGAACCACAATTAAGTCATTGCTTGCAGATCCATTGACTCTAGGTACCATTGACCTTCAAAATGCCTTATCATTTACCTTTCTTTTATATAGAAGCTAACTGGTCTAATAAAACAGTATATGTTGTATAGGTACAATTTGCAGGTTCTTCCACAGTTTGCTGTCTGATAGGATTCATTGCTGTGCTAGATTCAATTTGCGTAAACCTAGATTCTAATTTGGACCCATTCACAAGTGAATAGCATCCTAGAAAGGACATTTTTCTAGACTCTTCTAGAACCTCAGAAATCCAAAATTCCTAGGCAGAAGCTTGGAGGATAGAAGGCCCCCTACTTAAATCAACACCCTCTTTTAAATGGCATATATAACTACAGCTCAAGCTGTTAAACTGTCCTCTACTTGGAAGCCTGTCTAATACTTAAATATTGTAGCTATAAACACAGTCATAATAGAGATGAAATAGACCTAGGAGATCAGACACCATCTAATGTAAAATATTAAAAAGTAAAATCTGCACACTTCCCTGGCCCACATTCAATAATGCATCTTCCTTTAAATTATCATTTTAGCCAAAGATGACTCATTCCTACCAATATATAATTGCTCTCTATGCAATAGGGGAGTTTTAAATAGTAAAATTTATTCCAAATTGCACTAGGTTTCCTCAACATCTGCAGTTGATGTCCCCCTTGCCCTCTGATTACTCTAACTTTTAGGACTTGTGACAAAAGTCACCATGTCAGCTGAATGGAAATGGGGACAAATAACCCTCCAAGAATTTCAAAATCTACCTTCCTAAGGTAAGATTCCATGTAGAATTCCCACAGTATTTCCAGAGCTAATAAGAACAGATTTCTAAATTTTATGTGCTTTAGAGGCATAATTGCTTGATTACAGAGAATGCTTATATTTGATATTACAGGCAAAATATGCTGTTTATAGCACAATTCAAATTACTGCATCACAGCAGTAAAGTAGGTCTGTCATTCCATTCCACTTATACACACAGAAATAAAGTGTAGATAACCAAATTTGTAAAAGAATTGGCAGAACTAATCAATTGTTATTGTAATGCCTACTTAAAGATTAGACAGCTCACTTTGATTTCTCTTTTTAAGTAAAGTAAGTAAAGAAGAGGAAATACTGTCTCTTTAAATAGCAGCTGACTCTATTCCCTAACCTGCCACTCTCATGTTTACATGAAGGCAGATGTACTGATATCATAAAATACTGAAGTTATTTTAGTCATGCCTACTTGACACAAGGAAAATGCTTGACCTTTTACCTTGCTCACTGCTGTTGTCTCCGCTCTGGGAAGCGTGGCCCCCACTGGAGGGCCCTGGGGTGCCTGCTGAGTGGGTTGAGGTTGCATCATCGTGGTCTCGCCAAGAAGAAGGGTTCTGATGTCAGGATGCCAAGGAATTTTTCCACAGTTACCATTTCAGCCATAAATGAAGAACCAAGAGGAAATGTGGAAAAAGAGACAAAAAAAAGTATACATATTAGTATTTCTGGCACTAGGCATAATATACACATGCTACATTACAGTATGCTGTCTTTTTGGTAACAGGTGTATAAAAGACAAGACGCTCTAGAACTTGATGTGGTGATGGTTATACCAGTGTATATGTTGGTTAAAACCAATGGAAGTATACACTTTAAGTGGGTAAATTTTATTCTATACAAATTTAAAACTGAACAAAGTTAATTTCTGAAGTAAAACAAAATAATGAAAAATATAAAAGTCATTTTTACTCTTGCTATTTTAATTAGGGTACATTCATCCAAGAAATAGGTCCCAATGCTCATAGACACTAAATACTTCAGAACATTAACATCTGCAAAATTCAACGACTCCATTAAAAAAATTACAGGCTCAACAATATATGGGACAGTCCCTGACATGTTTCAAATGAATTGCCCTAAAACAGCCTATAAAAACTCTCAAAATTATTAACTGATTGACTACATAACCAACAGAGGCAATGACATTAATCACTGCATCAATACCAAATAAATGATCGATTTTTGTTTTAATTTGTAGACATAATTTCAAAAAGGAAACACATGTGAACTACTGGCCATCTAGTAAGCTAGATTGGACTTTCACTTGAGCTTCACGGAAGCTTTAAATTCACTGAGCAGTGCTTTTTTTCTAGAAGAACTACTTGTTTCCAAGGACATGCAAGGCAAACTAAGAGTTATAACTCATGCTACTTGGCTGAGCATATTCTTCTTCTGTTCCTCCTCCCCTTTCCTGATCATTCCCAATGCCCTGCTGTTGCTTAAAGGAAAACAGGAATTCTAATGTACAGGAAGGACTTTATCAGCACCACATGAAGGCAGGCAAGAGATGGAATTTCCTCTGGCAGAAACGGAGAGTAGGAACAGCATATGAAACAGTCCAGCTTTAAAGCCAGAGCTGTACACTTGTCACCTGCATATGACGACTTCAATTAAGCCCACAGACCTACTGGCAGAATGATTTGAGTGAGGGACAGAGGAAGGGGAAAAGTTTTTCCTCAAAACCATTCAAAGTATACACCAGTCAAATTATACAAAGTATACACCAATCTAAGTATACACCAAAGCATACACAGTATACACCAATCGAAGTATACAAATTATACAAAGTATATACCAATCAGTATACAAAGTATACACCAATCAAAGTGTAAAAGTATACACCAAAGCACACAAAGTATACCACTAAAAAAAAAAATCAAATTATACACTGTTTCTTACTAGAATTGGTAAATAAGAATTCAGATGGGCCACCTGGGTATAGGCAACGAATAAACTTCTTGACCAAGGGAAAGTAATCTTGCATTGTTGTCATTATATATAATTAATCAAGAAAAAAAGTCAGTCCATTTTTCTCAGCATCATCTCTACCTTGTACATATAGCACGGATGATGTTACCAAAATAAAACAAGAAACCAAGGTGAGAAAGAAATAGGGAAATGTTCTTATTTGGAACAACAAAACTTATTTTTCCTGCTACAGATCTGCAGCAAACTGACTGCAAATTAATATTTGGTATTTTGATAGATGATGAAATAATAACCCAGAGCTCTATGGATTAATAACATCTATATAAAATAATGCTACTGGCACTGCCATCGGTCAAGCAATTGATTCAAAGTGAAAACCCTGAGCAGAAATTTTATGACTATAAATATGGCATAGGTATAGATCTCTAAAATAGAGATATGTTTGAGAAGGTAGACAATGGAATGAAATTTAGTAGAACAAAAATGAAAGTCAAGGTTTTCTGTTGCCGGTATAAAGACAAAGTCATACCTGTGAGCTCTCTATTTTCAACGAAGTTAGGAACTACTTCAATAGTTTTAAGCAAAAGGCAAACAGAATACAGGGGCTCCTTAAGCTTTGAAGCCTCTTTGTGTCAGCTGTTTGCTGGTGGTAATGAGATAAAGAGTCAGAAGAAAAGAAAGAGAGAGAGAGAGAGAGAGAGAGAGACAGAGAAAGAGAGAAAGAAAGAGAGAGAGAGAAAGAAAGAAAGAAAGGAAAAAAGGAAGGAAGGAACAAAGAGAGAGAAAGAAAGAGAAAGAGAGAGGGAGGAGAAAGAGAGAAAGAGAGAGAGGGAGGGAGGAAGGGAAAGAGGGAGAAAAAGAGAAAGAGAGGAAGAGAGTGAGAAAGAGAAAAAAAAGAAAGAAAAAGAAAGAAAGGGAAAGAAAGAAAGAAAGGGAAAAAGAAAGAAAGAAAGAAAGAGAAAGAAGGAAGGAAAGAGAAAGAAAGAAAGAAAGAAAGAAAGAAAGAAAGAAAGAAAGAAAGAAAGGGAAAGGAAGGGAGGGAGGGAGGAAGGAAGGAAGGAAGGAAGGAAGGAAGGAAGAAAGGGAAGGAGAAAGAAAAATAGGATGGTGTGAGTTTAGTCCTGCAATAACAGAGCCTTCTTTTAGAAAATGCAATAGCTGCAACATATTCACCTAAGTTAAACTTTTCATTGTACACAGCAAATGATGTTAATTTTATGCACTGCAGGCTTTTTATTAAGCCGGCTGCAATAAAAGCTCCTTACCCCTCATGAAAATTACAATAATTAACCACTAACACCTCAACTATGTTTTAAGGCAAATGTCATCCAATAGCTATTATATAATCGTTTAAATGAAGCCGGAGCAAGTCTTTCTGTTTAGGCACTGCATTGATTTGAAGGGATCACTCAGAAGGACTTCCTGTAACTGAAAACACTGGTTTGTCTCTATCAGCTAAACCAGTGCTGAGTTTTAAAGTGAGATCTCATTCGTTTATAACTCAGCGTATTTATTTCAATGGTATCTGAAGGAGATGTTTCCTAAAGTAAAGGGATGAAAAATAAGCCATAGAAGCAAATATTACTTTTAAAAGCAGCTGGCTCTTCCAAATAAATTGGGTCTTTGCTTTTCTGCCCAGCCCCAAAATATACTTAAGTTCACCCTTTAACCTATCATTCCCTTATCTCTTCCCTCTTTTCTTCCTCACTAGAAATGCTCTCCTGAAAATGTGTCATGTTTATTTCCCACAGAGTGTCTCAAGTATTATGGTCTTGTTTGAGAGACTGAACACAAACTAAGCAGTATCACACGATAGTTATCTAATTTGAAATGAGGAAGAACAGATAAATCCCTCTGGGGTTTCAAGGCTGAGGAGTTACCCCAAGTTGTTTGTATTCAGCTACACATGGTGATGATGTGACCATATACAAATACAAATGGTGATAATCTGGTTAATAAAAAAATTGTTCCTCCTTGGTCATAAAAAACTGTAACCAACAAGGATGGAGAAAATCTATTACCTTTAATATTTTTTCCCGAGATTAAAATATGTGTTTATATCACAACTCTTTTCTTCTATTTTTCCCCTTAGAGTTTGTAAATTTAGATACTTCAAGAAAAATTGCATGGCTTTCTGCCAAATTATATGCAGAAGTTTAGTGAATCCTGAAACCAAAGTGTCATATAAAAGCATGTAAAAACACATGATGCCAGTAGAAAAATAAAGAGAAATGCCCGCTGGGTACACGTGCGTGACTGAGCGTTCAGGTATATGCATTCCACAATATATGTCCTGTTCTTCAGCCAAAAATACCATGAAGACACCCGAGGGCAAGGAGTGAACATGTTTCTATTCCCAGTAGCTTTAATAATTGGGCGTCAAATATGGTGCTCTTCTTGCTCTTACGTAATTGTGTTACAGAGCAGTGTTACCAGGAGAAAAGCAGTGAATACTGAGTAGAGCACAATGGAAGGAGATGGAAAATAGATACAAGAAGCTAGGTCTCCAGGGGCAGTATTTTCTATTTGCTGGGCTACAGACTCACAGCTGATAATGCAAGTTGTAATTAATATAAAAGCAGGAGACAATATGGGCAGAGCCTGTAGTGGTGGGGCCACAGGAGAGCGCTCTGCTGCTCTACTCTGTTTCTCATTTACACACAGCTTTCCCTAGAAAACACAATTCTGCCAGTGTTTTCTCCCTTGGAAGTTAAAAAAAAAAATTGATTTAGCACCATCATTGAATTTTGCTAAATCTAGAAAAGAGCAGAGAGAGGACAGGAGTCTCTGGGCAGAGGAAGCAAATCATGTGTGTGCCTCTCTCCTCAAAGTTGCGGATACACTGGAATTGTAACATTTTAAACCATTATGGCATTTCCGTGAGAGACCTGCCTATAAGAGAATACTTAAATAAGTCTTAGTGAATTGGTGTTATTTCCCTATTTAAATGATTCCACGCGGCACATGGTTCTTCCATGGGGCCAGTGGGTGAAATGCATAAAAGGTTTATAAGTAAATACAAAACTGAGGGGAGAAGTAAAGTGTATGAGGCTTCAAAGAGAAAAGCAAAGGCCATGCCACATACGAAGTCTACCTAAAATACTCCGAAACTCATTTTAGATACACATTTAGACCCTAAATGTAAAGGCAATTAAATGGACATGGTATAGGAGAGAAAACATTCGATTGGAATTAAGACTCTGGCACACCAACTCTCACCAGTCAGTTAACTTAAGCACATGATGCACCTCATTTCCATGAGACTCATTTCCTTTATCTCCTTAAAATTAAGAAGTTAGACCACATAACTTCTAGGACCTACACAGCTATATAACATCAAGTGAAAAATTATATGTAAACTTGGAAGATATGATAAAGGAGCTCAAGGTATGTGCTCATAGGTGAAGAGTAATAGTAAACGTACATAAGGATATTTTAATCAGTAATAACACATGTAAAACTAATTCAATGCGATATATTTAAACAACAAAGGGAAGATATACTTGTATCAATACACATAATTAAATTACTTATTTTCTATAACTTTATAATGTTTTTACTCCTAATTAACATTATGCAAAAGTTAATTTTAAAAATAAGACAAGGACTCCTATCTTGGGGTACT